CCACTACAAAGGGATTTTTCGGTAAGGCGTGCAACAAAAAAAAGTATGATTAGCACAGCACTGTCACATGGGGGCAAGGTGGGACTAGAGAGACTTAAAGCATACACTGCATGTTCCTTCCGCCCTACAGAGGCCAAAGAGAGCAGCAGTGGAGTAAAGGAGAGGTGCTAGGGCACGGGGCATTAAAGTGAACCTCTACATCCCCTTAAAAAAGGTCAGAAAGCCATATCCATCTCCATTGGGTTTTTCCAAATACAGCAGAGAGCAATGTTGGGGTACAAAGCACAATAACCAATAGCAAGTGAGAAGACTTTTACTTTAATGCAAACTCCAAGCTGATCTGATTGGCCGCCTATCGCTTTTTTTGCCTTATTAGAAAGGCCCGCTGCCTTTTAGCCTCGGCCTGCCTCTCCAGTATTCTCAAGAAGAGCTGATGAAACTGGAAACCTTTGTGACCGATTTCAACACCTTCACCAGCAACGGATAAAGGAAACAGATAGAGCTGACATACCGCTTGAAGCTTGTCCGTTAACTCTCGCCTCCTGTTGCGACATTTTGCGGCCGCCAGTTTATTCCTTTCTCTCCGGACCCGCCGCTTTTCCTCTTCCTCTGGTGCCAGCTGCAGAAGAAAAAAAAAGAAAAAAAGAAATGAACAAGTTGTCTTTTGTGGTCAGGAAAAAAAAAAAAAGGCCACAAGGGGTTGCTGGCTCGGTAGTGTTTCTGGGATTGTGTAAGGCCACGGACTGCGCTCAGCAGACCTTGGTAGCACAGATGCTTTCTGCAGTTAGAACAGAACGGTTTCACAACTCCTCTTATCAGTTGTAATCATGCCAGGCCTGACATCAAAAGGAAGCAGGCTTTGCCGTTACTATAAATCCTCAGCTGCAAACAAAAGGCCTGAAATCCAGGGAGTAGCAGGACAAGAGTTATTCTGGATTTGGGAATGTCGAGAAGCAAGGCATCTGTGCAGCTGCCATCCAGAACCTGCACACCATCAGCAAACTGCTCAAATCAGGTGAAATCCAAAATATTCCATATTTGTGGAAGTTGTCACCAGAACAGGAGGTGAGGGTAGGTCTACCAATGGGGACACAGGTTCAGGTGACATTGAAACAAGTAGGGAATTCCCCTCACTTTGGGGAGATTTCCTCTCACTTCCTATTGGGTTCCCAAAACAGGAAGTGAAAGCTCCCCAATGGGACACCTCGTCTGGAGACAACTAGGGATGAGCTCAGGTTCAGACCAAACTCACACCAAACAAGGGAGCTCCATTGGCACTTCCACCCAATCAACTGCGATAATGAGGATTCCCCACCCAACAGCTGCATGTAAACAAAGAGGCGGGGTACTTGTGCTGACATCATTTACCTAATATGGCCACATAGCCATATTCATTAAGTGTCATTTACCAAATATAGGCATGCAGCCATATAGGGTCAATGACATCACTGAATCCCACCCATTTGCTTATGCCATGCTGCAGGCAGGGAATTCCTTACCAGCAGCTGGCTGGGTGGCACAGAAGGCACTGCCTTCTGTGTTTGGGTGGGGCCCGTCTGGGTTAGGAGGAGCTCCAGCGCCAAACCTGCGCACATACCTGGAACCAATCATAATTTCTTTTTCTGTCTGGCTAAAGACAACTGGGGCAAATAGAAGGGGGCAAATCTTCCCAGTGGAGTTCTTCTTTAGTGTAGGCAGTTTATATCCTTGGCTAGGAAGTTCCAGATGCACGAGAGGGCCACCAGAGGCTGCATTGGGGCAAGACCAACATAGAAGATGAATGGAGCACTACACCAGTTGTTGAGTCCAAACTCAATGTCTATTGCTTTATTAAGAAAAAAAAATCCAACGTATTTCAGGGGCTTCCAAAAGCCCCCATTCATCAGGGCTTTAACATTTGTTGGACGAGAAGGGCACAAGAAGAAATATAATTATAGAATAAATTAGTTTTTGTATTCCGATGGAAAGCTGTTGACCCTATTTACATGTCAAGTTACAGTAGCTGGCCTCCATTCTTCATACGAGTAGTAATAAATACCCGGCAGGGGTTCTAACCTGTCTATACTTTATCTAAAACTAAAGGAAAAAAAGGTTTTGGCCAGAGATAAAGCTTTAAAAGGCAAAACTGGGTGCAGAGAGACAGGCGAGCTGCCCAATAACCTACATATAGTTCATGGTTTGCCCATCTTACCTGCTCATCCCTTCTCCTCCTGCCCACGGTGGTGCCAATGGTTTTGATGACTCCGGGCCGCTGGAGAGCTGTGTGCCCTCCCACGGATGTCAGGTTAGGCATATGGTGTCCATAAGGGTGTGCTCGCCCATAGGGATTGGACATAGAGGTGATGACTGTTGGCTGTACCATCCACTGCAAGTCTTGGCTGGTGGTGATGGCGTTGATGGTTGGGATAAAGGCACTGCTGGACCCTGGCATTTCGTTCCGGAATTTCTGCTGGAAGAGAATGGAAAAGGTCAGCAAATCATAAAAACAACAATCTGCAGCATTCAAATGCTAAGGGATGGAAGAAGTACAGGAGGGTAGATAGATAAAGAATAACTTTGGGCAACATATATCAAAAATACTTTTTGGCTGTTAGGTATTCCTTTCAAAAAACACACAAAAATATTCATTCGGCTTAGTGAATCTCCACCTGAAACAAAGCCATCCAGCTTATTATAGGCAGGTGACACAGAATGTTCTGGCCTCTGTCTAGACGTACGGGGTGTTGTGGTGAGGTCACAGTTTCCTCCTCAGCACCTGGCTAAACATCAAGGTGAATCTGACTATCAGACCCGATCACTATGGGCCATCAGACTGAGCGATGGCTGCAGGCTACTTCACTAGTCTGAGGAACGCAACAACTGAGCGCCACTGGCTGAAAGGTGATTCTGGTGCACGGCGGAATAATCCTGACAATGTAGACCAATGTTATCTCGATGTATCCTCCGGGTCATCTATGACAAATGTGAATCAGGAGGGTGACAAGCGAAAAAAAGAGAGAGTGTGACACGAGAGAGAGAGGGGAGACACGAGAGAGGGGGGAGACACGAGAGAGAGAGGGGAGACACGAGAGAGAGAGAGGAGACACGAGAGAGAGAGAGTGACACGAGAGAGAGAGTGACACGAGAGAGAGAGAGAGTGACACGAGAGAGAGAGAGAGAGTGACACGAGAGAGAGAGAGACAAGAAAAAGACAAGGGAGAGACAAAAGAGAGAGAGTGACGAGAAAGAGAGAGACACAAGAGAGAGTGACGAGAAAGAGAAAGAGAGAGAGAAGCGAGAGACACAAGGGGGAGAGAGAGAGAGAGCAACAAGAAAGAGTGAGAGAGAGAGAGAGAGAGAGAGAGAGAGAGAGAGAGAGAGACTGACAAGAAAGAGAAAAGAGAGATGAGAAGGAGATACAAGAAGACAGACAAGAGAGAGACACAAGAGACAAACAAGAGAGTGATAAAACAGACAAATAGAGAGAGAGAAGCAAGAAAGATATGAGAGACAGAGGCACAATAGAGGGAGGCAAGAGAGAGGGAGAGACAAGAGAGAAGCAAGAAAGAGAGAGAGAGCGACAGACAAGAGAGAACGAGACAGACGAGAGAGAGCGAAAGACCAGGTAGAGACACCAGAGAGAGAGGCAAGAAAGACAAGACACACACACACACGAGACAGAAGAACACAAAAGAGAAATTTGACTTTGCCTGGCTGCCAGGCCATGCAGTACGGTTGCTACCTGTCCAGGAATTACCTGGACAGTTCGGGTTTTGAATGCTGTGTCCCAGTTTCATGGCAGCAGAAACCCAGACACAAGATGTCAGGCAGACAGGGGCAGCCAAAATTAAGGTAGGGGCCACTGGCCCCCCCACTGAAAATTGCCTCCACTGTGATACTTACATATGAATGGGCGGCACTATTTACATATGAATAAGCCGCGACTCATTCTCCCAAAAAAATGTCAGCGCGTCGCTAAAGTGTTCGGGTTTTACTTGAAAAAAATGTGGCAACCCTACCATGCAGTGACTTGTAGTTCCTCCAGCTTGAGGCGACATTATAAAACCAGAAGAGTGACTATTTACTCCACTTCCTTCCACATGAAGACACATCACGCACAGGAATGCCGCTCAGACACAAGCTGTCAATTCTCTGAGGAAGGGGGGCAGAATGTTCAAATATTTTTGCCAGGAAGAGCGGTCAGCAAAGAAGATGGAAGAGTATCAGGTGCCTCATCCGGGTCACTTTCCTTCCCAGACTGAGGACTTTAGGTCATGAAGAGTCCATCAGATAGGGAACACATGCAGCATTCCTACAACCTCACACCCAGGGGGGACCATACATAATCCAGACAGCATGTCATCACTCCAGAGCTCAATAACAACGCCAGGAATGAGCGCTGATATCTTTGTGCTGATTTAGATAAGTAGAAAAACATCTTCAACATAACAGAACGTGCCCAGTGAGTGTGACTATTCGATGTCCTGGATGAAGGAAAACCTTCACAGTCACACCGCCAAAAAAGTTGACTGTTCTGGTCTGAGAAGTTGTCACTTTAGTTGGCCTGCCCTGAGGGATGAAAAAAATATAAACAGATTCCTCCATCCATGCTCAACAGCGGGGATAGACTAATCTCCTGCTGCGGCTATTGCATTCTCACAGCAGGCGTTCCTCGCTGTCAAATACGCTAACAGTGACTACAGCCGATTGGCTTCAGCCACTGAAAATCTCCAGCCTGACTCCTTCTACAAAAGTCAATCGATTAATCAACTTTTGTTGAGCCGCCAGGGTGAATCTAACCGTGTATGGCCAGCCTAAGACAGCCAAACTGGATGGAGGGTTGAACTTGTTAGAACTATGCTGGCAATGGCTTTCCCAAGTGTTTCAAGGTAGGTAGGATATTGCCATAAAGTGCACGTATACAAACAATACCTGCACATTATGGCACGCTTAGGCTAAAGTCACACACTGGGATGGTGATGACAGAGGACCCAAAAGAAGACTGGCAGCGGCAAGGGGGAACTCTAAGCATTAAGGCCCCGTTCACATGGCTGCATTCAGAGATTCCTGCGGCAAGAACCTATAGATTCTTGCATCAGGAATCCCAGGTGTCCCCGTTCAGATGCGGCCACTGTACCTATTGAAGTTACGGATAGGGTAACAGCAGCAGCACCAGTCAGCGGCACTTGGCATTCTTGCCACAAGAACCCATAGGTTCTTGATGCAGGAATCCCCGAATGCAGTGTGAATGGGGGGCCTTACCTCCTAGAGTGCCCGTCTCCAGCGATGCGACCACCTCTCTCCCCCCCCCCCCCCTCCGATTGCTGCCAGTCTTCTTCATGGTCCTCCGTCATCACCTTCAGCCATTGGGCAGTCACTGATAATGCAACAGGAGTCTTCATCTTATAGATGCCGGGAATGAGACGAGGTGTACGCAGCCTTGTACATGTGCGGCAGGCAGTTTACACAAAATTTTAAAAAACTGCTAGAAGCAAGAAGCAGCAAGTTTTGGCAGCAAAACAAATTAAATAATCTCTCTCTCTCTCTCGCTCGCTCTTCTTTTTAGTTGTGCTTTGAAATATATCTACAGACCCCCGCCCCCAACCCCCCTCCATTATGGAGTAAGAAATGGTTAAACTAATGTCAGATTTCTTCATTTATCTGCCATCTGTGTGCCACTGGGGATATTCACCTTCAGTTCCTGTTCTGTAGCCGCAACAGGAAGTGAGGCAAGACCACTCTAAAGCCTGGCACAGACACAGACAGTGATGAAAACGTGACAGGCATTCTAAGCCTACTGTATCAAAAATGAAAAATTACAGTTTGGGGTTTTAATACAATGTAACAATTTGAGTCGGGTCGATAAAAAGACTTCCGCCCATCACCCATTGGGCTCAATTCACAAAGCTTTAACACAATGATAAGGCTCTTTAATTTTGTCATGTGACTGTCATTATCGGATCTCTTTGGCTGAAAATAACTGTCATTTTGTAAATACATATTAGTATCCTGATTGGTTAGCTTTGTGAATTGAGCTTATTGTATGGGGGTTTGATTGTAGACTGCTCGCTCGCTGTGTGACTGACTATTCCCTTTTCTATGGAGAAAAGGTGCAGAATTTACTAAACACGCATGCTGTGATCATCTGACAGCCAGTTTCCAGAGAAGATCCAACCCGGGAGAGAGATCCGATCGAGTCATTATAAATAATATGTTTATAAATAAGTTTATATAAATAAACTAAAATCACAACACACATATACAAAAACGCTCCTCACACAACTTCAAGAGAACAGCAATGAATAATGGGAAGTCCTCCAGGTGTCATGGAACTACTATCCCTAGCATGCCTGGAGCATTGGGATGTGTAGTCCCTTGATACCTGGTGGAGTTGCCCACAGACAAGTTTAAGAAAAAAACTGAACCGGAGATGGCACAATGGATGGACCACCTGCAGCAGTTGCTACAATTACCAGGAAGGGGGAAAAAGAAACTTAGGACAGGCTCACCGTCCTCTATGGAATCTTCCTTCTCCCCGCAGACAGGCATCTGAGGAGGGAAGGGCAGGAAATCTCTATTGCATAATCGCCTCCCACTGTAAAACGAACTTCCTCCACCCCTCCTTCCTCTTTTTTTTTTATACTGCTTCATTTACTTAAAGCCCAGGTGTGGTCACCGTCACTCCCAAGGGCTGCCGCACTTAACCCTTCCACCACCTAGAGAGAGTATAGAAGCTTTTCAAATAAATAGCTAAAGTATAAATAACATGTACTTAAAAATTACCTAAAATCTAAAGATGGGTAAACAAGAAAACAAAAAGTATATAAAATGATAA